TCGGGTTCGAACCCGGTACCTCATGATTAGCAACCGCGTTTATGATCACTAGAACAACTAGGCAGTCCTTCATACCATAGAGTAGGATATTCTCTTATTGATACAAGCTTAATGATTAAAACAGTAATTTAAAAAACCCGAGTGCGTTAAAAAATTACTGAAAAGAAAAATTCCCTCGCTTATTTTGTATTTACAGCTGCAATATATAAATATTATATCCATCAAGCCGTTGAAGCTACGGTGCCAAAGAAATAGACATACATACATAAATACGATTCATTGGTGCTGCGAAGAGATGTCGCATCCCTTTGCATTTTCTTTCGCATTTACCATGGGGAGTGCTCTGAGGAATTGTTCGGATTAATCCCAGCCGCCAAATTTCACGAAGCTCATCGCGGCAGAACTCCCGATACCATCAACACCATCTGGATGATTGACGGTCCACCATTGTACGATTTAGAAGATGTTTTCTTCCTCGCACAACTTCCTTGTGGAATCGATTATCACCAAGAAAATATATCGAATACCATCAAGAAAAGAGCCTACTCCTTTTTAAAAGGCCGGCAACGCATCTGCAATTCCCCTGGTTCCCCTGGTGTAGGAGTTGTTCATGGGTGGCGGTAGTCACTTACCACCACCTGAGCCGCATGCTCGTTTGCCCCCTCTCCTATAAAAAAAATACATAATTTCGAAATTAATTACCCTCCTTCTGGGGCAAAAGTGAAATAAGCTATTATAAGCTGCTTTTTCTTTTTCAACGGCTTTGTACAACTTCATTGTAGGTGGCCTCATGGACGTCTCACGTTGTAAGTAACCCTTTTTTAATCGTCACGCAGGCAGGCAGATGGATGATCGTTGTACCTTCTGCACCTCTGACGCTGCTATCCGTTGCCATACTGGATATTTTGTGCCATCTCTCTGAAGACATAAGATATTTCTGGCATTTTCCGTAGTCGCTTCCCCGACACCCAAAGCCTGACAGCCTACAGCTCATCAAAGGTCCATTGAACATAGGCCTCCTCCATACTTTGCCTCATAGTGTAATATTTACCATAGTTGCCACGCTTTTTCTAATTAATTTTTTTAAAAAACGCAAACCCCACACTAGGATTTTCTCCTGTATCGTGGCAGGAGTTTACAAACACAAATTGCACAAGGACAAACATCCAGACCCGGAACAATTACTTGCAGGTCATACAAATACTTGTTCCGTACGGGATTCGAACCCGCGGCCCTCAGCGCAGCAACTCATTGCTAAGCCAATGCACCACGGAGCCGCTTTGCAGGTGTGTTTTTTATTACTTTGAATTGCTATCAGAATAATGCTCCTCGGCATTCCCTGTTTCATTTCCTTGTTTAGCCTCTTCCGACACTCACGGATATTAAGGGCAGTGGATTTTCTTACGGCACCTACACGGCGTTATATAGAATTATGTATAAAAACATTTAGAAATAGCATGGTAGCGATCACCAGCTATGGTAGCGATTTCTAGGATTTATTATCAAACATGTACTCTTTAATAGTTTAATAAATATTAATAATATTTGATAAGTAAAAGTTTATGAAATATGCATATATTACAGGAGTTTTTACTTTTATTAAAAGCTTAATTTTTAATTAATGATTCACATGTTTGAATATTGTGCGAGTCGTGACTGTTTGCTATCCAATACTTCATTGTTAACTTAAACGTATAAAATTTAAATGAAAATTAAAAAATAATAATTTGTAATTTATTCAAATTTGCCATAAACTGCACCCAATTACCTTCTCCTGTGTTTATTACTGTGGTTGATGTATTCATGGCAAACGCAGCACATAAAAACTGAAACGTGGTTTTCTTTCGCTTGGTTACTATAAACGTAAAAAGAAAAATATAGTTTTATTTTACTAACAAATTAGTTTCAACTGAAAAATCTGCTAATGCATTTGTTATGTACTTTTTAAAGATGTTGTGCCAGGTCATGAAATGTTTTCCCGTTACCCATTTTCATCTCACGTTTTCCATCTGTTAATGAATGTAGAAGCAATGCGCTCTTCACACGGGAGCAACCGCAGTGGGACAGTGTGAGAGAAGCTTTGTGAAGTAAATACCCGACTGTTTAAAGTACGAGCAGAATACCAACACAATGTTATGTACAAAAAAGGTTTTTCTTTATTCTATAACTATCATCGTTGCTCGAAAACTGTTATAAAGGATTAGCACTGAGCAGCTTTGGTTGATTTTTCACGTCAATACGTTTATTTATTTTTTCGTACCCATGTCTTTGGGGGGATATGTATTATAGTTACCACGTTTAGCAAGCGGGGTTGTTATCCGCAGTTTTTATGTGGTTTCTAGTAAGACATATAAGACACTTAAGAGATCTTGTTACGAAAACAAGATTATACAACTAATGCGTGTTGCCAGTGATAACATAGATCTAAAACTTGGTTCTACATACGTATGAGGAAACTAAAGGTCGCTCAGTGAGCTGTGGAGAGGGCTGTGCTCAGGGTTTCTCTGCGTGATAAAATTCGAAATGTGGAAATCCGTAGTAAAACCTGAGTACCCGACAAAGCCCAACGGATTAAACCGACTAGTGCCAATGTCTTTGATATTGCTACAAATCTTACTAAAGAGTGTTGTACAGCTTTACTTGTCTGGAGAACCTGAAGTGCTTCTGAGGAATTTTGCTAGCTAATTAGCTAATTACAAAGAAGTATGGGAGCAATTGACTAAACGTTATAATAACAAAAGGTATAACTGCAATGCTATAATGAAGACATTATTTGGACAAAAGGATATACAACACGAATCTGCGAATTCTATTAGACATTTGTTAGACACAACAACTTCTTGCCTAAAGGCTCTTAATAATCTCAATGTTGGTACGGAACAATGGGATGCAGTTATAATTCATTTGGTAGTGTCAAAGTTGGATCATGAGTCACACCGACAGTGGGAAAATTATATAAGTACCGCATCAGATGAATTGCCTAAATGGTCTCAGTTAGAACAATTTTTAGAAACGAGATTTAGAACTTTGGAGATGATCGATACAAGTAAGCAAACTACAAGCAATAAGATGACCATACAATCAAAAGGTTTAAATCAAGCGGTAAAAGCTAACGCATTTCATTCAGCTTTGAATGTACAACAGAGTTCATCTGAACAGAATTGCGCGATGTGTAATGGTTCACATTTTATTTATTACTGTACTCAATTTAAAAAGCAACCAGTTCTTGAGATACAAAATATTGCACAAACTAAAAGGCTTTGTTTCAACTGTCTAGCACCTACGCATCCTGTATACAAATGTCATCAAAATACTTCTTGCCGCAAGTGTGGTAAAAAACATCACACTTTGCTTCATTTTGAGAAAGGGGATAAAGAAGCTTTTAACATATTAAAACAAAATGATTCATCTAAAGGAGAACCTCAACAATGTAATAGTGAAGAAACTTCTACAATGAACGAGAGGAACGTAGTAGCTAATTTTTCGTGACAAGATTTAAAAAATTATAATGTATTGTTAGCGACTGCTGTTGTAAAATCTAATTCTAGAAATGGTTCTTATGTGATTAGAGCGTTGCTTGATCAAAGCTCGCAAGCTTCTTTTGTTAGTGAAGATACTGTACAATTATTAGGTCTTAAGCGTACAAATGTAAATGGTAAGGTGTCAGGTTTGGGAGATGGTCAAATAGTGATTAAACATGCAGTTAGTATTGAAGTCGAGTCGCGTCACGTCCCTGGGAAAGTTATATGCGTCAATGCGTATGTATTAAAATCACTTACTTCATTATTACCAGGTCATGAAGTACGTATACCTGATTGGCTAGAATTAAAAACTTTACCTCTTGCCGATCCAGGATTTGCATCACCGGGAAAGGTTGACATATTACTCGGTGCTGACGTATACGGAGAAATATTGCTAAGTGGTATTAAGAAGAGTCCATATGGAAATCTAATAGCACAAAACACGTTGTTTGGGTGGACTTTGTCAGGTAAAGTAACACCCGAGTTGAATAGCGAGAATATTATTACTTTACATGTTCAAATAAGAGAGGATGAGATACTGAAAAAATTTTGGGAAATGGAGAACGAGCCTAATAGTATCGAGAAAAAATTAACAGCAGAGGAAAAATTTTGTGAAAAGTTATAGAAAGAAACTACTTTAAGGCGTGAAGACGGTAAATTTATAGTAAGATTACCTTTTAAAACAGTTGACCCGCAGTGTCAACATGGTCAGTCATTTGATATTGCTATTAACAAATTATATTCATTAGAGCGAAGATTGTGTAAAAACCCTACGCTTTATAACGAGTATATTAACGTTTTACAGGAATATGTAACGTTGGGCCATATGAAGGTAGTTAATCGTGATGATGTTAACAACTCTAAAGCCGTGTATCTTCCTCACCATGCAGTTGTGAGAGAAGATAAAGAGACAACGAAGGTTAGAGTCGTCTTCAATGCTTCTAGTAAGGGTGTAAATAACGTGTCTCTTAATGATGATTTACTTGTTGGTCCTAAACTCCAACAAGACTTACGACACTTGTTACTACGATGGCGAAAACATCCGATTGGTATTGTTGCCGACCTAGTGAAAATGTATCGGCAGGTATATGTGCACGAAGACGACACTAACTTTCAGAGGATATTATGGAGAACTAAACCTGAGTTACCAGTTCAGCACTATAAACTGCTAACATTAACCTTTGGCACTGCATGTGCACCTTATCTTGCAGCAAAACCTTTACAAACATTAGCAGAATTAGAAAAAGACAAATATCCGTTGGCAGCTCAGATAACACTAAAAGATTACTATGTTGACGATTTAATGACAGGTTGCGAAACTGAGAAAGAAGCACTACACATTTACGAAGAAATGTGTAAGCTGATGGGAGCTGGTGGATTTGAAAAAAGTGGAGTAGCAATAGCCAATTATTTCTAAATCACATTAAGAAAAATAATTTGAACACGGAAAATTCCGTAACGATTAAGGTTGATAATATAATGAAAGTGTTAGGTATTTTTTGGAACAGATGCACAGATAATTTTGAGTACGTAATAAATTTAACTGACCCAGAAGAACATGTAACAAAACGGAAAGTTTTATCAGATGTTGCCAGACTCTATGATCCTATAGGATGGATTGCCCCAGTAATAATTACTGCTAAGATTTTCATCCAGAAATTATGGAAAGCATGCCTTGACTGGGATGAGAAATTGCCTGAAAACCTTTTGTCTGAGTGGTTAACCTTTAGATACGAGTTAGCAAACATCAAAAATATTTCTATACCACGGTGGCTTGGTTCAAAAAAGGGGTCTAAATTAGAACTTCACGCATTCTCATATGCATCAAGTGTAGCCTATGCAGCTGAAATTTATCTCAGAGTGGTAAACGATAACAATAAAGTACACGTGAAGCTTATTACTGCCAAGACTAAGGTTGCACCAATAGAAAAGGAGGTGACCATACCCCGCTTGGAACTTTGCGGAGCAACTCTAGCTGCCAAATTATTAAACGAGGTTTCGCAAGTAATGGACATACCTCATTACAGCCCTTCACAAGTCCACTGCTGAACATAGGCCTCCCCCAAAGAATGCCACAAAGCACGGTCCTGAGCCACCTGCATCCATCGACTTCCTGCATGTCTTACCAGGTCGTCACTCCATCTCGTGGGGGGACGCCCTACACTTCGCCTACCGGTACGAGGCTGCCACTCGAGAACCTTTCTTCCCCATCGGTTGTCGGTTCTTCGAGCTATATGGCCGGCCCACTGCCACTTCAGCTTACTAATTCGTTGGGCTATGTCGGTTACTCTGGTTCTACTGCGGATATCCTCATTCCTAAGTTTATCACGCAGAGAAACTCCGAGCATAGCCCTCTCATAGCTCGCTGAGCGACCATGAGCTTCCTCATACGGCCAGCAGTGAAGGACCACGTCTCAGTTCCATAAGTCATCACTGGCAATACGCACTGGTTGTACAATTTCGTTTTCAGGTTTTGAGGTATGTCTGACGAGAAGATGTGTCGTAGCTTCCCGAACGCTGCCCAGCCGAGTTGAATCCGTCGATTGACCTCTCGGTCGAAGTTGGACTTACCTAGTCGGACTATTTGTCCCAGGTAAACATACTCGTCAACAACTTCGAGCTTAGTGCTCCCAACAACTACCGGCATAGGTGTGACATGGACATTGAACATGATCTTTGTTTTGTCCATGTTCATCTTAAGACCTATCCGTTGGGAAACACTATCGAGGTCATTGAGCATAGTGCTTAAGTCCTCCAGCGATTCTGCCATAAGGACTATATCGTCGACAAATCGAAGGTGAGTGATGTACTCGCCATTGATGCTGATACCGTATCCTTTCCAGTCCAGAAGCTTGAGAACGTCTTCCAATGCAGCGGTGAAGAATTTCGGGGATATGACGTCACCCTGTCTTACACCTCTCTGCAATTGGATAGGTTTCGTACTCTGGTTCTGTACTCGGATAGCCATCGTAGCCCTACTGTACAAGCACTTCAACACTTCAGTATACCGACAGTCAACTTGGCACCGCTGAAGGGACTGCAGCACCGCCCAAATTTCGACGGAATCAAAGGCTTTCTCATAGTCCACATACGCCAGACATAGTGGCAAATTGTACTCTTCGGACTTCTGTACAATTTGCCGAAGGGTATGTATGTGGTCTATGGTGCTAAAGCCCTTTCGGAAACCGGCTTGTTCGGGAGGCTGGAAGTCGTCAAGTCTGCGCGCGAGACGATTCGTAATGACTCTCGAAAACAGCACGTAGACGCGGCTCAGAAGGGAAATCGGTCTGTAGTTCTTCAAGAGAGCGTTGTCACCTTTCTTGAAGAACAAGACCACCGCACTTCTGCTCCACGCCTCCGGTGTAATGCCACCATGGAGGATGGAATTAAAGAGCTTCTGAAGGACTTCAAGTACCGGTCTTCCACCCGCTTTCAGAAGCTCCGCTGTAATTCCATCCTCGCCTGGGGCCTTACCGTTTTTAAGGTCCTGGTGAGCCATTCTAGTCTCGCTAGACTGACGTCCGATATATCTTCGGAATAGTGTCGGATGAGACTCGCTCTTGGATCGTTACTCACACTTGCATGTGGCTCCAACGATGACGTGTACAGCTGCCCATAGAACCTCTCAATCTCACTCAAAATCTCAGGTGTCCCGGAAACGATGCTGCCACATTCTGTCTTCAGCTTTGACAGGTGGCTCTTTCTGGCAGACAGATCTCTGGCAAAGACTTTGGAGCCTTGGTTCCGGTCGATCGCTTCTTCAATACGAGCTGTATTGAAGTTGCGTAAGTCCCGCCGCATGCATTTGGAGATCTGTCTGTTCAGATGCCTGTATGCTGTCAAGTCTGTTGAAGAATGTAGCTTCATCTCCCGTCTAACAGCCATGAGATTAAGAGTGTGATCGGAGAGTTTTTGTTTTATTCTGCGGCGGGTCTTGCAGAACTTAGCTCCGACCGCATGGACAGTTTCCACGAGCTTGTCATTCATATCGTCCACTTCATTGCACTGAAAACGGTTTTGTAACTCGAGCTGAAAGGTTTCGGGACTTTGGAACAGAGCACGAGGGGGACGGAGCGTTGACTTCATTATACGAGACCTCTCCATCTTAACGTTTAGGTTCAGTGTGCCTCTAACCATTCGGTGATCGCTACCAGTTTTCACCCTCGCGATCACGGAGACATCACTGAACAGTTGTCGTCTGGTCGTCATAATGAAGTCAATCTCATTTTTTGTCGAACCGTCGGGGCTCGACCAGGTCCACTTCCTGTGGGGCCGCTTCTGGAAGAAAGAGTTCATCATAAAGAGTCCCTCTTTCTCCATGAAGTCGGCCAGCTGCTGGCCCCTTGGGTTCCGTTGCCCTATTCCAAATTTCCCTATTTTCAGCTCACCGTTCTCCCTTGTGCCTAGTTTTGCATTGAAGTCTCCCATTAACACCGTATATTGGGTTTTGGAGGAATGCATGTCTCTAGAGATATCCTCATACATTTCCTCCACCTCCTGATCGGGGTGTGCCGAGGTTGGTGCGTAAACCTGTATGACCTTCAGCGAATACCGTTTGGTGATTCTGAGTATAAGGTACGCAACCCTCGTCGACACACTCCCGATCTTTACAACGTTATTAACGAGAGACTTGTGGACGATAAATCCGACACCTCCTTGGGGCTCGACCAGGTCCACTTCCTGTGGGGCCGCTTCTGGAAGAAAGAGTTCATCATAAAGAGTCCCTCTTTCTCCATGAAGTCGGCCAGCTGCTGGCCCCTTGGGTTCCGTTGCCCTATTCCAAATTTCCCTATTTTCAGCTCACCGTTCTCCCTTGTGCCTAGTTTTGCATTGAAGTCTCCCATTAACACCGTATATTGGGTTTTGGAGGAATGCATGTCTCTAGAGATATCCTCATACATTTCCTCCACCTCCTGATCGGGGTGTGCCGAGGTTGGTGCGTAAACCTGTATGACCTTCAGCGAATACCGTTTGGTGATTCTGAGTATAAGGTACGCAACCCTCGTCGACACACTCCCGATCTTTACAACGTTATTAACGAGAGACTTGTGGACGATAAATCCGACACCTCCTTGGGACAGATGGTCGCCCTCCCGGTGATAGAGCAAGTTGCCGGATTCGAGGATTACCGTGTCCTCCCCCTCTCTTCGGACTTCGGATAATCCTATAGTATGCCAGCGCAACTTGTCTATCTCTTCTTCCAGCTCCACGATCTTCTCGTCAGTCCTCAGGGTGCGTGCGTTGTACGTTGCCAGGTCGAGTCGTCTAAAGTGGCAACCGAACCTCCACCGGAGATTCTTAGCACCCCCTGCCCCGCCGTTACCATGGTCGCCACCGTAGCCAGGAATAGCGGGGCCGCCGGGGACTGGGAGCCGTCTCTTTGTTACATTCATAGGGGGGTATTTGCCATAGTTGCCACGCTTGGCGAGCGGGTCGGCAACCGCAGTTTTTTTATTGTAATTTTGGCTATTATCAGGAAGATGCTGCTGCCCATCTCCTGCCTGTTTCCCTTTGTCGCCTTTTACGACACCCACGGGAGGATATTCGGTAGTGGTATTCTTGACCGCCACTACACGGCATGGACATACCTAAAGTGGACTTATATGCGTGGACAGACTCAACTGTAGTATTGGCTTGGCTACGTGGACCTGTTAGTCGATGGACTACTTATGTAAGTAACAGGGTGTCCCACATTCTCACAATTATGGATGTTGAACAGTGGGGACATGTATCAACTAACTTTAATCCCGCTGACTGTGCGTCAAGGGGACTAAAACCGACAGAATTAAAGAGTCACGAATTGTGGTGGTACGGTCCTGGCTGGCTATCAAAACAAATCGTTCGTATTGAAATACCTGAGTTGTCGGACATTCATGAAGAAGAACGAATAAAATCGTTTGTTGTTGAAGAAAGGCGATGTAATGATTATGAGTGGATGAAATTTTCAAACTTAACTAAGTTATTGAAAGTTATTTCGTTATGTCGCAGATTTCTGAAAATAAAATTGCCGCCACATGAAAGGAAAGCATTTCCAAAATTTGCTACAACTGACGAGATGAATCAAACACTGCAACTTTGCATTAAACAAGTTCAAGAATGTGATTTCGCGGAAGAAATAAATTCTTTGACATCAAAAGGTTGTGTAGCAAATCGTAGCGTGTTACGCACTCTTTATCCCTTTTTAGACAAAAATGGGATCTTAAGAGTAGGTGGGCGCCTAAGTCAAGCTAATGTAAGTTATGATCAAAAGAATCCAATAATTTTGCCTGTTGAGAATTATCTTAGCCTGTTAATAGTTGCTGATGCTCATACAAAGACTCTTCATGGTGGTCCACAACTGATGATGAGTTTTTTGAGATCCAAATATTGGATATTGAGAGCACGTAATATGGTTAAAAAGTATTACAGAAGTTGTGTCGTATGTTTAAGGTACTCTAAAGCAGCGGCTACACAATTAATGGGTCAATTGCCGGAGGTTAGGTTAAAACCGAGCAGACCTTTCAAAAGTTCAGGAGTGGATTATGCAGGTCCAATTAATATCCGATTCTCTTCAGGCCGTGGATCAAAATCCTACAAGGGATACATTTGTTTGTTTGTTTGTATGGTAACTCGCGCGATCCATTTAGAAGCGGTATCTGATTTAACAGCCAAAGGCTTTATTGCTGCATTTAGAAGGTTTGTTGCACGTAGAGGTCATTGCCAAAATCTTTTTAGTGATAACGGCACGAACTTTGTGGGAACTAACAAAATGTTGTGTAAAATGTTTGATAATGCTAAATCTGAACTACATAATGAAATAGCTGAATTATTAACTTTGGAGTCAACAAAGTGGCATTTTATACCACCAAACGCACCTAATTTTGGAGGAATATGGGAGGCGGGTGTACGATGTGCTAAAGCTCATTTGAAACGAGTTGTAGGGGACAATATCTTAACATTTGAAGAGATTTCTACTATGCTAACGCAAATCGAGGCCTGTTTAAATTCGCGACCATTGAGCATTCTTAGTGACAATCCAAATGACCCTCTTCCATTAACACCTGGTCATT